AATTATAAAACCAAGCAGACACCGCCTATGCCAACTCTCACAATGAATGCCACGTTTAGGACCCCTAACAGTCAGGAGCGTGCAGTGATGCTGCTATACCAGATCCCCACCTGCTCCACACCTTTGGGCCCTGTCTCCAACTTGGGAAACCCCACAGAAAGCCTGACGGGTCCCACAGTACCTGTTTCCACTCAGCTCACTGCAGCATCCTTGCCAGCAGCTCCGACTGCTCACCTCAGTCCCATTCGGAATAAAGGCCTCTAGTTCAGCCTGTCTGGGGGCCTGGCCACCGGGATGGTGCCTGGTTCCCGGGGTACTTGACAAATAGCTGTTATACATTCTCATGGGGGCAGTTTTCATTTAGTCCCACACTAAAAAAGCAAAATTTGTTACAAATCTGCATAATAATGGCATTTTGATCAATTATGTACTAATGATTATTATGATCCCACAACAGTCAAATTTTACCTATCATTTGTGTTAATTTTTTAATAAAATTTCTTTTTCACAGAGGAACATGAAAAGAGATGAGTGATAAAAGGTATTGATGCCTTAAAAACACACGGGGTTAAAACTGAAGGTTGTATACAGTTGAAGGAAAAAAATATTAAGGAAGAAAGTAACAAGTAATCTTTCCAAGTATTAACGAAGGGCCAAATGAATGCTTCCTTTTTAAATACCTATATTAAGGATAATTTTAAAGACATGCAAAAGTAGAATAGTTTACTGAAACTGTATGTAGGCTGTTCCCTACAGCTCTAGGGTACTATCTAAAGCAAATTCCAGATACATCATTTCAACTATAAACCATTCAGTTATGTATTAGTAAAAGATAAAGGCTCTTTAAAAATAATTCCATTATTATTACACCTAAAGAAATAATTCCTTAATATCAAATACTCAATTAGTGTTCAACTCTCCAATCAGCATGGAAATGTCACTCATTTTTCTAAAGCCTCATTTTAATCAGGATTTAATATAAGAACCACACATTATAATTGGATATTCTATCTCCGTACAGTCCCCATTAACTCATAAGCTTCCCGCCACCTCCTTTCCATTTGTCACTGGTCCCTTCAGGAGCTGCATCGTGGGCCTCACTGGGCTCCCTGACCTGGCTGGCTGCAGCCCCAGGTGTAAACATGCTATGCACTGTCCTGTATTTCCTGTAATTTGCAATGAGATTGGTGTTTTATCACTTCCTGCTGAATCTTTTGTTAAGACTAATTCATAGGAAATGAGTGTTTTTCTATCAGCCGGCATACAAGGGTCAGCTGCCTTCCCATTTATTATTTTTTTTTACATCAGTGGGACTGATGAGTGCTTTTGACCACTTTGTTGTACCATTCACAATGCCGCGGACTTATTAGGAGCACAAAAGTATTCTCTCCTAATTCTGAGGCTGGGAAGTCTAGGATCCAGATGGGAGCATCAGATGTGGTTCTAATTCACACAACGCAATCCCCCTCCTCCATGGCCCTTTGGGGGAGCCCTCAGGACTTACACACATCCCTCCAGGTCCCCACCTTCTAACCTGCTGCACAGGAGACTGGATTTCAGGAGACACTTTCAGGCCACAACAATGGTCACTAAATACCTAGAGCTACTGTCTCACCATTCCTTCTTCATTTATTAGCTGGAAAACTTCCATTTAAAAAAAAAAAAAAAAGCAGCCTTCCTAGCTAGTAATACCGGTTACTCATCGATATGGCTCAGGGTAGAACAGACCAGGACTTGCTTCGCTTTGTCCTTTGCCTGCCTTCCTGTTCATGATGAATGCTTCTTTTATGTGCCGGAACTTGAACTCAGGACCTCATGCTTGCCAAGCAGGTACTGTATCGCTGAGCTACATTCTCAGCCAGAATTCTTAAATCTATTGCGGTTTCCACCCTTACTGATACTCTAATCTCCCATCACTGGCCAGCAGAGTTCTCAGCTTGGCTCCAAGGGCTTTAGCATCAGCCTAGTAATTACCCATAACTTCTTCATTTTCTGATAAAACAGGATGTCTCAGTAACATCTGATGTATTTCCTGTCCCAACCCGAATTCAGCCCTTTCTTCAAGGAGCTCTAAACTCTCTTAGAGGAAAGTGTAATTTCCAAAGCAACAAGACATGAAAAAAAGTTAAGTGAGTTGCTTATCAATATTAGAGCAGTTTGTTTGTTCATTCTTTGGTGGACTGAATGTAAGACCTTCACACTGAGCTACATCTCAGCTTTTTAAGAACTTTTTCTATCAAGCAGGATGTCACTAAATCAGTCAGTTGCACAGGCTATGTTTGAATTTGAGATTCTCCTGCTTCAGCCACACAGAGTGCCAGGATTATGCTCAGCTGTAATTCTCAAACTTTTTACTGAACACACATGGGGTTATTTATTTCTCTTCCCTTCACCTTGCTTTTTTTCTTTAGTTTTTAATAAGTAAAATATACCATAGATTCATTAGCATATGTCCTGTCCAAATAGAAAAGCTTTAGGGTTTTGTTCCTTTTCCTCTAACTCACATCTGTAAACCTTTCCTTCTACTCTAAGAACCCTAAATCAACAATGAAATCAGGAATGACAGAATTAGAATAGAGCCAAAATCTGCAGTTTTGTGAGTACTGACCTGACACTGAAAGCATAAAGCTCTACACCTGACTTTATGAGTCACGATAAAAGGCAGATAACACAAGCTTGCACTCCCAACCTCCAACAAGGCTGAGGCAGGAGAACTGCCCTGGACGAGTTACCAAGGCAGGAAGATGCTATTTAAAAACAAAATGTTTTTTAAAGGCTGGCAAGTAGCCCAGTGCAAAGGCCCTGGGTTCAATATCCAAGAGCCTAAAAAAAAAAAAGAAACAAAAGTAACTGCACTAAAAATATGGTATAAAACTCAAGTTGTATACATAAAGTGTGTATGAACTCAAGTGAACATACTATTTCATTATGTATATGAAAACATCCCCAAGTATCAAAAAAAAATTCTAAATCCCAACTTGTCTGTTCTCAGCATTTCAGGTAACGGATATTCAACATACACTAAAATCTCTCACTCTCTCACCCCACAACATCCCCTCAGCAATCTGAGAGCAGCTACCAACCTTACCAACAGACAGTTTAGGCTTCTGTCTGCTGGGCTGCTGGCTTCCTCCTTTGTCTCTCCTTAGTGGTTCAAATGACTGAGCACACAGTTCCTCCAAATGGTTAACTCTTGATAGGTTCTGGGCACTAATCAGATAACACTTTCATGTTTGGACATTTCACATTTCTTTCTTAATTAAAGAACTGGGGGTTATTCTTTAGTAACACGTTGTTGTGAATAATACTAATCAATATTAATCATCCATAATAAAACTTGGTTTTGAAACTTAAAATGTAATTGCTTTAGAATCACAAAAAATACAATATGCTTACAAAAACAAATGCACAAAACAAGGCGGTGTAAGTGTAGCTTGTATTTCATTTCCTTTGTGTTATTCTGTCCCTTCCCTACAGGTATATATTTTTAGTTATCCAGTTTTATATTATTTCTTTACACGGCTTATTTCATTTACCTGCCCACTTCATATAGACACTTTGGAAATAGGAAAGTTTATAAGTTTATTCTAATAATCATACATGTAGTAATACTTTTGTGTAACTCTATCTTATATGCAACAGTTTCTTCTGCTATTGCCCATTAGTTACTCACTCACAGCAGTTTATTACTGGCTGATAACCACGTTTTTGCCCTTTAGTTTCACACGTTCTTGCCAAACCACACCAGTGGCACACACATGGCCGTCCCATTGGGTGGCTTGCACCGCTAGTGGTACCAACAGCTCTAATCACATTTATCAGTCTTTTACTAACAAAATTAATAAAAAGCCACCTGATGAAGTGGGTTCAAGCCCCTGGCAGTGATACATAAGAATTATGGCCACACTGTGAACGCAGGAACAGTATTGTTCGTAGTAGTTGTATACTCGATTCAGTAACGTGTTTGTCTTAAGTTGCAGGTACTTGGCGATTTCTATTCTGGGCACGATGGCACCTAGGCTGGCAGTGCCTGATGAAAGAAGACTGCACCCCAGATGAAGGGTGTGAGCAGCTCCTTTGGCCTCACACACTGCCAGCAGCAACGCCCCCCAGCTGTGACAATCAAAACTACCTTTAGACATTGTCAGGTGGAAATTTACTACTAGAAAAACTGAAGCTATATCCAAATACAACACAGGTGCCTAAAAGACAGGTAAGCTTTAAAATTTCCTCCTCCCCCTCCTTCCCCAAGACAGTGTACTGCCACATAGTTCAGACTGGTCTTGAACTCACTGTATACTCCAGCCTGGTCTCAAACTTACAGTGATCCTCCTGCCTCAGTCTCCCAAGTGCTGGGATTACAGGTATATGCCACCATGCCAAGCATAAATTTCTTAACACAGACCTTCTACTGAATAACAGCTCAGAAAATTATAAATACAAAATATTGTTTCTAGCAAAAGTATTTGACCTTTGTAAGTCAATCTTCCAGAAATGATTACCATGGTTCTTCAAATAAATGTAGCGTCATTCTCATACAGACATTCACTGTCCCCTAACTTCCCTGTCCTGGAGATGCCCTACAACAGCAGCTCCTCCAGACCTTGACAATAACTCTGGCCCTGAGGTCTCTTCTTCTCCACCTCTCACATAGAGTCCAACTAATACAGCAGTGTTCGTCCCTGAGCTGACTGTGAATGCATGAGGCTGCACTGTGTTTTGCTAGGGAGTCCTTTGATTCCTTCTCTCCCTTCTAACTTTCCAATGAAATACACAGGAAGAAGAAGCCAGGTAACTTAACTGCAACAATAGCTACTGATCTGAATTAACATAAGCTCACTCTACTTCTCTTGCAAAAGACATTGGCCTAGGCTCTACACTTAATTGACTTCTGATAGAAACATAATGAATTCCATTCACAGGAGCAGGAATGGCTAACAAGTCAGTGTCCCTGTAAATTAAGATGAAATGTGCAGAGAACAAAAAGAGTTTCCACTTACTTGCGCGAAGGACTGAGGGTGTGACCTCAATTTCACTTGTTGCTTGATAAGGCTGAAAGGCGGACACATTGTTGGTACCAAGCTCACTCCCGAATATTTCTGGACTCTGGGTCCCTGTGGAGCTGGCGCTGGTGCCATCACCTCCATGATGTGGGTCTTGCTCATCAAACACAGCTACCAGCTAGAAAAGAGAAGTAAATGTGCATCTGTAAACAAAGTCATTTAAACTACTAAACAATATTAAATAATATTTTGATATTATAACAGTTTGACATAAATCAAAAGTGAGAAAATGTGCTAAGTAAAAAGCAAGAAGACCCCCCCCAAAATTGTGTTTCCCTTAAGTATGCTTTACTTTTACATTTTTAAGTTATATATTTCATATCCAAAATTCTAGGGAACAAAAACAATCAAATTGATTACTATCACACAATGGTAACACAGGGATGGATTTAAACCTTTTCTGAAATATAGGATATGTTGTTCAGTAGAAAGAACTGCCAAAATGTATGTGTACATGTGAATACATAGGTAAACGTAGTTGTATGTGTGCATGCATACACACAACATGAGCTACCTCCACACATGGAGAAGTGGATATTACAAACGGTACATGTATCTGTTCATTTCTGCACAAAACATGTAGGAAGGAATAAAAGAAACTACTGAAATGAGTTGCTTATAGGGAGCAAATAGGAACAGATCTGAAACAGAATAAAAATAGACTGGTGCAATAATAGGAAATGACACTTTTTGAGTACATTTTGCTGCATAGCTCAGAACCACAGTAATGATTCTAAAACCCAAACAAATAACTGGAAGCAAAACGGACGGAAAGTACATTGGGGGATGGGGAAATGGTGGTCCAAAATGGCACACAAACAAATAAACCTGACTTGCTACAAATAATTACTATGATCACACTGCGCGGGGTGAGAAACAGAACCACTAGTTTAACTTTGAAAGTTGAATTTTAATGTAAATATCAAGATAAAAGTAGCTGTCACCCAAATACTTTGCTAGTTAGTAAAATTGCTTTTTAAAATTACATGGCTTAGCAATTCTCACTCTGATACACACACACACACACACACACACACACACACGCACGCACAAACATGCATACCAGGAAAGAATACAAAGTGAAGATACTCTGGATAATGAAATCCATTATTCAGAAGTCATGAATAAGGAATTCTGTGTTGCTGTATGAACTCAGGGTTTTTATAGATGGACGCAGGCAGGTGCCACCTAACAAAGGGATAAGTTTTGGATCCACACCCCTGGGTGATTTTGCCACGATGTGAACGTACAAGAGCATGCGTACACAAACCTAGGCTGACACAGTGACTACTGGGTGCGGCGTGGGAAGCTACTGCTGAGTGATGAGGCATACCATTCCCATGAACATTTTTTAAGAGTACCCTTAAAAATAATTAGAAGTATACACACACAACTGTTACAAGCCACTTATCATCAGTGACCAGTATCGCATACTGAACATAATCCTAAGTGCGATACTTTGCTATGCCTGGCAGCACAATGGCTTTCTTTCCACCAGCATCACCAGGAACACATGAGATGTCACCAAGCAAAAGGAAAATTTCAGCTCCTTAATGGAACCAGCGTTATATATGTTGCTCTGTATGGGTGGGAATGTCATAATGCAGTGCATGACCATAGTTAGGCAGGCACACAGACAGACACAGATGAATGTTACTGCATCAATATTCAAACATGAAAAAATACGATCTGGATTTAAAATAAAATTTATCATAGGAACAGACATTGTCAAAATAAACCACCTCACTTCAAACACAATTCCATCCTTCTTGCCACTGTCTGAAGCAGCTCTGGAAATCCTCTTTCTTGTGTGTCTTTAGTTGTGCTATCACGCCTACCTCAATGTCTGGAATCAATTAAAAATGTTTCTCTTTCATGATCAGTTTGACCTTAAGGAAGAGCCAGAAGTCGAACAGTGCCAAATCCAGTGAATGAAGTGGGTGAGGACACACCATGATGTTTTTGCAAGTCTGCCCTCCCACATTTTTTTGTCACACTTTGAAAAACACTCAAGAAAGAGGGCTACTTGTGGCAAAATGGTGGAACAAGTATTAGAGGTGATGGAGGTATGGAGGAGGGATTTTGAGGGAGATTAATGGCCATGTGTCTCTTACAGTAATAAATTTATAAAATTCAAACATTTATCAGAGTTTGATGACCCTCTGTACCTTCTGGCTCTGTTTATTGAAAGGTCATAGCATCAGGGCTCATATATTAGTTACTAATACTATTCTCCAATAAACAAACCAGGACTCCTTGGGCAATGGCTGCTTTTAGGACTGGGAACAGGGAAAACACAGGATAAACTGGAATGATATAAGATGCTGAGATGAAGTATTCGAAAGTGATGAAGGGATACAGATGTCAACTTGATGGGGCAAAAACTTAAATAACCTTTAAATAAATAAGCAGGGCACCAAGTGCAGTGGTGTATGCCTGCAAGATCAGCACTCAGGAGGCTGAAGCCGAAAGACTGCTGTAAATCTAAGGCCAGCCTGGGCTGTACAGTGAGACTTTGCCTCAAAAAAAAATAATAAATGAAAATAAAATAGGCCATGCTAGCATTGAACCATAACCAAAAGAATAAACTAATATTCATGGTTTCGTAAATGGTGAAAAATGGATAGCTGTTCCCGACAACACCTTTCCAAATAATGAAGACAGTTGGAATGTTGGAGATGGAAGTCATCACTAGGCAACGTCCATAGTAACTTGCAGATAAGGTCTACCAATGGATGCTAAAGGTAATGCAGAAGAATATGATAAGAAGCAGGCTATTCTCACATCTCAAAATGACTCCCCATAAACCACATTTCAACTAAAAAAGGAAAAAGTTATCTTTGCAGTAGAGAAACTTGGCAGACGCCACTTCAGCAGTGATAAGACACACCGGCATCATGTGTCACCTGATGAAACACAGTGAGCAGGCTGTAACATTACTTCTGCAGCAGGTATTTCTGCCAAAAATGTGTAATTTCAGTTTAATCATGAGACTTCAGACAAACCTCAACTGGAAGACATTCCAAAAAATTATACTCTTAGAGTAAAAAGTTCATGAAAGTAAATGAAGGAATGAACTTTTGTAAACTGGAGACAAAGAAAAAATAAGGACTTCATAAAATATAATCCCTAATGTACCCACGATTAGAAAAAAAGGATGTCAGTAAAAGATACAAAATTTAAATAAACTCTAAAGACTAGTTGACAGTACTGATGCAGTGTTCTTTTTTTGATAATTTCATTTTGATTACACAGGATGTTAATCTATTTCAGAAAAATAAAGGGCATTTAAAAGAATCCATTTTCCAACTTCCTGGAATTTAAAATTATTTCAAATCAAAATTTTTAAATGTTACAAACTAATGTACTAATGAAAATAAAAATCCATTCTGTTTCTATTGCAGTTCTTAGAAGTCTGACACACCCACACAAAAAAAAAGTTTAACACATTTATTTGAATGGATCAACAATACTTTGCCCAAGACATTCACCTCAATCCACATCCAGATCAGCACTGCAAGCAAAGAGCCACGATGGGGTATGGCCAAAATGAACCATCTCTTTTGGGCCCACCCAAGCTTTCTCAGTGCCCATACTCCTATGAGTTCAAGGACAGTATGACACATTCACAGAATAAGAACAGTACTTATAATTATAATCCTTATTTCATACTTCTGTCATTTTGAACAAATGCTATTTTCATGAACATTTGCATATCATTAATCAATTTATGAAATAAAATCATTGTAACATCATAGAGACATGTAGACAAACAGGAAGCTCAGACCCTGCTGCGGTATAATATACAATTAGCTGATTAAATAATCCAGTGGGGGGTTAAGTTGTAAGAAGAAGGCAAAGTACAATGAACATTTGGGCCACTCAATCTTATAATAAGCAACACAAGTGGGAAAAGAAATTCTTTAAAGCTACAAAAAAATGGAAAGGTGTTTGGAGTTGTACACCAACGTTTCCATGTTCCATAAGTATATCAGCTTACTTATCTGACATTCACTGGCAAATGTTTTCCTGTATTAGAAGCCCAGATATTGCACTAGGCCAAGGACCAGCAAATTCTTTCTGAAAAAGGTCAGAAGGTAAAGACTTTCAGAGGTGTGATCCAAAATCATCTCTGTCAAAATCATTCCAGTTGACCACAATAGCTCAAAAACAGCTATAGGAAACAACACTCAAACAAATGACTGTGGCTGTTTAAATGAAACTTTATTTACAAAAGCAGGTAGATGTCGGTGTCGCTCCCGGCCGGCAGGAAAAACACACGACAGATTCTGACGGTGTGCAACCTTGTCTTTATTTGTCTCCGCGTGGGCCCCGCGAGGCCTCTGCTCTGTCACCAGTCCTTTCTCACCGGTGGACTTTTTCTATCTCTCTCTGTGCTTCTCTCTCCTGGCGGGAGAGGCACTTACTTTTATAGGGTAACAGTGGCCAATCAGTTCAAAGCGCGCGATGCGGGCTGATTGGCTAACATCAGTTGTTGCTAGGCAGACTATTCTATTGCGGGCTGCTTACGTCGCCAGGGCAATCAGGGGGCAGGAAGCAGGCGCCAACTTGGCTCACTCGATGGGAGGGGTAACTTAGCTCAGGCTTTGCTCTTTTCTACAGGCCTCACGTCCGCCAGGTAAGGCGACCGGGCTTGGCCGCGGCTCCCAACAGGTAGACAGTTATATGTGCCCATGGGCTACAGCCTGACCATGCTCTTCCACACTGCCTATTTTTGCCATGACCCGCACAGCCAGCAGGGTCCAGAGAGGGGTGAGACAGGAGATTAAGACAAAACTAGACACATACTAAAAGGACTACTGAGGTCGTATGGGACCTGGCCTCTCTGGTGGAGAGGCAGCAACAGCCCAGCAGTCTGTGTCTTTGTTTATACACAGTAAAAAGAGAGGAAGCATATATCAAGTGCAAGGTGCAAGGTCTCAGTGCTTTGCTGAGGACACTGAGAGTAAAACATCCTCGTGCTATCTGTGTGGTAGTTAACCGGAAGGAACACCAAGGCCACACCCTTGCTGACTGGCCTTCCTCTAGTCCCAACAACTTGGCTCGCCTCTGGCGCTCCGTGTTTTCTGCATTGGCCTTGCTCTATCTCAAGTGTGT